AAAATCCATGTTAAAGAAAGATAGAAGTGAGATTTATTTGATGTAAATGGAAAGCAACTAATATGATGAGTTGACAACTCGCCTGTCATTCGAAACGTCATATAGAGACAAAAATAGATAAGGAAAATTGGGATTCCATAATTATTTCTCGTTTTTCATGTAAAATCGAACTTTGCTGTGATCATTGATGTACGTATTGCAATCATAAAAAAGCATTTTTAATTCTGTCAAATTAATGCGAAAAAAGACTAGAAGTACGAAAATAATAATTAGTCGATAAAAAAAGATGTAAAAAACTGTGAAGTCACCAGATGATAATTAAAAAATGGTAGTAATTTAATCAATCAACTCTGGCAAATTAAGTGATCTTTATTTAATATTCACGACGTTTCGGCCATGGGTTTCGGCCCTTATCAAGTGCTATAATATACAATAATGACAATTATTAGAAAATTAAAAATTAAAAAGTAACAAAGTAACTATAATAAAACGATAAATATTTCCACACATTAATATGTAAACCTACCTAAAACACAACTTTTTTTAAAAAACCTTAATTTCTGATCTTAGAATGTGACAAGATATAATAAGACGGTAATGTGAAACAATTAACTATATTATTGTGTCGGTTTCAAGCTCTTTATATACTCATTACTTTAATCAGACTAAACGACCTTTATTAGTTTTTCGTAAACAATATTTAGATTATCCGTGTCTTTTTGTAAATTGATTGTGTTGTCAAATTTTTTGATAAAAAACATCTCCGCGATTTCTCGTTTTCGTACATATTTCTCATGATGTAATAGTCGATAAAACATAAACAATCGTGAAAAATTCCCTTAAACGGACGAGGTAATATGTGACGTATTAATTATCGCGGTTAGGTTAGGTTAGGCATTATCTCGGAATCTGAGAAATGGAAGGTTATGTTTCCCATCGGCCGAATAATTATTTACGAGGCACCGGGTCGTAATAGTTAATTGAATCGTACGCAACGGCGTATACGATTCAATCTAAGTAATAATATTGTACGCGCGCATGCCGGCCTTGCATTGTTGCATAGGCGCGCACATTGGCGAAATAAAGGAACAACGTGTTTTGTGCCATTGTTTCTCTCGCCAAGATCTTTTACAATATTCTCTTTCGATATTAACGCAATGCTAATCGCCAGCGGATATGAAATTCTCAAGCAATATCCATAAAAGTGTGTTGTTTTAATTCTTTTTTTCTCTCTTTTCCTGCCATTGTAGAGCATGTACTGACAATAGTGCAGACAAGTCTGTCGCTGCACGCGAAAGACATAATTTAGTAAAGCTATTCTTGAACGCGTAATATGGGAGTTTTTCAGCAAGAAATATACATAATGATTGGTTATTAAATAGCAAAATTTTGAGGACTTCAAAAATTCTTTATTCAATAGCAATCATGTCAAATTGTGTCTATCTGTGTCTTCTGGCTGGAAAACTACCAATATTATCTTATATGTATGTATGTCATTTTATCATTAATAACACGTGTAATGTTTCAAGATTTTTCTTTCTTTTCAAATCCTGTGTATTTTGTAACATAATGTTTTAACCGCACATACGCAACTATATGCACGCACTTATCGCTGGGAATATTGAAAACAGAGGGAACAGAAAAACATAGAGTACGTACAAACGTGGCAACAGGTGTATTTTCTTGAATAATTTAGAATCTCGAGTATAAATATTAACGAAACAAACTACATCCCTCGTATTCAAGTGTACTCTATCAGCGTAATTTTATCCGTATTACGAAATCATCACACGTCACTTCTTTGTAAAACGATTTTTTAATATTATTTGAATATTATATTAGTTTAATTTAATAAATAATGCTTCATGTTATTTAGGAGTTTGTTATTCGTGCCTTTATTTCACGTTTAACTATTAGGTACACTACTAACAATGATTTTATTGCTAATAATTATATTAAACTGATTGTAGAGTAACTTTGTCACTGATTCTGAATATAGTATTTGATTTTCCTAGGTTGATTCTAATTTTTGAAACAATGAGTGCCCCATAAAAACGTAAAAAATAGCAAAAATATAATAGGCAAGTGTAGCCTATCCTCAAATAATATGGAAACTATCTCAAATTGTCTTAAAAGTATATACGTATATAAAATAACTAATGGCGCAGTAAAAACAATATAAACTGATTCACATAATCACAATTGCATAGAAAAATGCTGTTTGCATAATTTTCTTTTATGCAAGTCATCAAAATCACATTGGAAATAAAAACAATGTTAAAGAATAAAAAGACAGACAAAACCTTGCTAATTTGAGTATTTACCATATTATCTCAAAAACTAGAGCCAACTCGGCAAAACTGTTGTCATTTTTGGATTCAGCATTACTAAAATATCCTAAATTCATTCAAACATCCTTGGCAAGTAAACAAAAGTTTTTTTGTTGATCATTGTTATTTTAGTCTTTTATTATCTGATACATTCAGAACCTTACTGTTTTATTGGTTTAAATATGTATTTAAGTCATTTATTTTGAAAGTAATAAGTTCACGTTTTCTCGATATTTCTTTTATTAACAAAACTTAACTTAAATTTTTAGCTATAGTAACAATATTATTGATTTCCTCAAAAATATAGACTTATATCACTTTTAAAACAAACAATTTATTTATATTCTTGATAAACGTTTTTACATTTTTAAGGTCTTTTAGACACAGATATAATAGTTTTTTAGCTTGGGTTTAATGCACCGGAAGGGAATTTGACTTTATAATTTTTTTTTATAGAAAAGGAGAAAATCATTCTCTCTTCTTCTTCTCTTTTTTCTCTTTCGAATTTATTAGCAGATAATCATCGCGATTCAATGTATACATTAACGTCATTCTCAAGCATTAAATTATCGGCCTTATTGAAATGCAACGCGGTCTGTTACTTTCTGGATGAATTTCTGAGACTGGATTTCTATCCGATCGCGCGGTGGCTAATAAATGCCGCGACGAGCATTAAATTATCATTCGGAAGAAGTATACGTGTCTCTCATTAAACGCGCACAATACATGTATATACCGATAGGAAATTCATTTTATCGACTCGTTTAAAATTACTTTGAGAAATTTGACCGCAACCTTACTTTGAAACCTGAACCGCGCTTGCACTTTCTTACCCAGTATGAAAGATAGTCTTTAAGAATTAACTTTTATCCAGAGAAATTGCGAGTTTGTTGTACATTTCACTTAAAATGCAAATTAAAGTTATTATTTAAAATAAATCTTTTATCTTCGTTAATTACATGCAATCTTTAACGATACAAAACAGCGCATGCATAATATTTATTAATATTTACCTCTTTTTAAAAAAATTTACATTTTATATAAATATTTAAAAACCTATCGTATACTGCTGTCATTGAGAGAAATTTTACGAAATAATCCTAGTTTAAGATCTCTTTTGCAATTGAAAAATTACTTTGAGATCCATAAAATAGGCATTCGAATACAGGCAGCTTTTAAGATTATGTATTCTTAATTTTAAATTTTAATTAAAATTATTTATATATACACCAAAAAAGTTATTCTCAAAGTAAGAGGACTATATAAAATCTCTCTCAACAGATATTTTGAAGTTTTTAAAACATCCTCTCTAAAAATATATTCTTTTTCGTATGTTTGTTTTATCGAACTGTTATTTATTTGACATTATATGATTATATTTTGTTATTGCAATGTAAGATGGAATTATATATTATGTTACAATTTCCAGTGTTTGTCACTGAATGATTTTAGTTTATTTAGTGGAATTTTGATTTATTAAAAGAATGAATAAATAAAGTCAATAAGTGGTCAAAAAAGAAAATTTGAGCAACATAAAAGAAGGTCACTAATATGTAACCTAATTTTATTGTTTAGGATGTTCATATTCGGTTTATGGTCTTTCTTTGCCCGTGTACTTTTTTATTGACGTGAAAATAAATCCCACTTATTCGTTTACATTTTTATAAATTAGGAACATTTGATATACCATCACATGGATTGATGACGTCAGAAGCGAGAAAATATATCATGAAAATGCTTGCGACTTACGTCAAATAAAAGTGTTTTTCAATAAAATAGCGTTTGAAATCGATAGAATAGACATGTAAAATATACTGAAAACTTTGCTTTTATTTAAGTAATCAATAAATAACACACACATATATATATATATATATATATATATATATATGTCAAATTGAATTGAGCCCAATACCAAGGAGAAAAACTAGCTGTTTGATAGGTATCGAAATGAAATAAATATTTGCTTTCACATATTAAATTATGCCAAAATGGGAGTCTTCGGTATATTTTAACACCATAATAATTATTTTAAACATAAAAACACTGCAATAAAGCGATAAATAACGCTGTAAGTCGCAAGAATAATTTATAGCTTGCTAAAATGTCATTTATGCTTATTATTAATAAATAAAATCGTATTATTTATTAATCATATTATTTGCGTTTATTATTGTACATTTTTGTCGATAAAACAATATAGAGATTCTTATTTCCACCGTGTTAAATTAAGTCGTCACTGTCAACGCGGACTTGGCAATCGAGCCTTAAGGTAAGAGGATCCTTTTGGCGCCTATGTTAGGACAGAGTAGTCTAAAAAGAAGCGGAAAAGTTTTTTGAATAAATGAGAATAATTTTTTGTGTGTTTCTATACATTTTAATAGTTCTTATCTTCTTCATATCTTATACATTCCTGGTTTACAATAAATAGCACAACAAAATCTACATATGCATAGACATTCGCGCAGTAAAACGCATATGAGCTTTCTAGAAGAAGCTAATGTCGGCGTTGCAAAAATAGGACATCTGTGCACGCGCGCGCGCCCGGATCAGGGTTAAAAATCCGGTCACCTTAATTGAATCCCTCGAAAACGAGTGTCTTCCCTCTCTTCTCATCCCGATATGCGTCAGAGAGACGAAGGGAACCGCTCCTCTCTCCGTTCTCGAGCAGATCCACCACGGTGGGGGTGTGCGGCGCAAGGTGAATGTAGAGTAGAATCGCGGCATTACGTGCCACCGAGTAACGGAGCGAACGCGGAATAGAGCGTATCGCGTGTCCCCGGCTGTGTTTCGCGTCTCTTCCTCGGCGGCGAGCCGCCGAAACGCGAGGAAGGAAAAGCAGTCGCGTGTCGGCCAGCGGACAGATCGGTCCGGAGCGCAACTCATCTCAACGTGTATATACATGTACTTGACATACTGCTCGCCCGGATGATGTTGATGATGATGATGATGATGATCGATGACTGAAAACGCTCGCGGAGGCAATCGCCGGACACACGGACCCTCGACTCGCGAAATTCGGTGGAACGTCATACACGGACTCGTCGCCGGCGAAATCAATGTACGAGATGTAAAGTAGCGCGCCTGAGAGGGATCGATCGATCGGGGACTCGTCGAGTATGTTGACCTGGTAGCGGGTGCTCTTCGATCGACGGGGAAAATCGCTTTCGAGGAATTCAACGGTTTGACGTTTGTGGCTCAGCTGTTATCCCCAATTCGTTTCTCCGTCCTCGTCTTCGTCCTTCAGAGTGGTGTGAATCTAGTGAATGGACTTTATGAGTGATCGTCGCCAACTCGACAGTCGAGAGACACGAATGGTCTGCGACGAGGCGTCGTATTCTGATGGATCGCACGTGATCGTCTGAGATCGGCGCGGAAAAGAAAAGGGATCCTGGGATTTCGAGAAGAAACTAACTCTACCGAGAATGCCGAGGGAGAATATGTGGCGGCAGAGAAGAGTACCCGTTCCCAAGAGGTAAGGAGGCTATTTCCAGACGCGAATTAACGACGGCGTTATTCGTCGTCTAATTATATGCGCGCGCGATTAACATCTTCCACGATGTCATCAATATTTATCCGCGCGAGCGCACGCAAAGCGTGAGAGTAGCGTATGTGCGAAGGGCTATATCTCGTGTGTCTCTCTCTCTTGTAGATCGAGAGACTTGTCATAGTATACCTATGTAACGAGTCAAGGTGTTAACCGTTAAGCACGTTGGTGACTTAATCTCGACAAGTAATCGTCCACCTTTTTGCGATGAGGTTTTCTCCGGATTTTCTTTCGTTCGCTTTCTTATAAAATTTGATTTTGAGGGCTACAATTATGTGATATTCATCATTTTGATTAAATTGTAATTGTCTTTTTAAGTTTTTAATATCTCAGATTATATAATGGCACGAATTGCGAAAAAGATTTTTTAATTAATTTTTTCAAATTTAATTTTTTCTTATTTTTTAGAACATTATAAACATTCAGTGTTGTGCTAAATGATTGTAAAATTAGATAAAGATGAGAAAAAAATGTAAATTTATCTTAGATGAAGATAATTTTGTTTTAAATATATCTAGATAAAAATAAAAATATATAGTGATTTATTCAGATAATATTATTTTTAAGACTGTTTATGTCAACACAGTTATAAAGGAAAAAAATGTAAATTATAAGAGGAAATATAAAAATATATTCATACTTTTATTTATAAGTTCTTATCGCTTACTACTTACTGCTTAAGTATTTTTATGTGCTATAGTCCTAAACCAAATTATCTGAACATTATTATTCTAGATAATTTAGTAAAGTTCTACAGGTAGATAACACTTTTTTCATCTTGTAAGTTGCAGATATAGATAATACATATTTTTATTATTTATATAAAGATAAGATGACACCAAAATTTCATCTAGATGATTATTTATATAATTTTATTTAAATAACAGCAAACACTGTAAACGTTACTTACAGATAAAACTTTTAAAGATAAAGGAAAAAATCTATAAAATATTCATTATTTATTTTTGAATTTTTTAATAATTACAAAAATTTGTCAACACTATGATTATTTTTTAAGCATTTTTAATATTTTTGAAAATTAATTGAAAGTATAAAGAAAGATATTTTGTTTTTATTTCATTAAAATCATTTCTTATATATAGTTATAATAAAAACTTTTCTTTCAAAAATGAAATAATAAGTTGTTAATAACTATAAAAAAAGAAATATATATATATATATATATATATATATATATATATAAAATATAAAAAAATTGTACAAATAAAAAGTTTAAAGTATAAAAAAAATTTCTCACACATCGTGAGAGATTTTAACTTAAAAAACATAAATTATTCGAATGTGTGATGGGATAATTTATGCAAATAGAATTCGCAAAATAAACATAGTGGAAGTAAGCTAGAAAGTTAAACGGCTTATAATTTTACGAAAGTATAATGTGCACCTCATATTCCTGTCTTTTTTTTTCTACGAAATAATTACATAATTATTATTAGTGTATTATTCATGTAATTTAAATGCATATTAATTACACGATAGCACAATAGAGTATTTTATTATCGTAATATAATTTCAGCATAACTTACACTTTTAATTAACACTTTCGTCTTTGAACACATACAAAGTACAACAAATTTGCATATAATACATATATCCTCTTAGACTATATATGTATATTATACTTATATAAAGTTTAGATAAAAAAATAACACAATTGTGTTTCTTTGCGAGATATATGAGAATACCGTTTAGGAGAAAGAAGAAATTCTTATTTGGAAAACTTATCGAAGAATCGTTGACTTTCCGGTCAAACCACAAATAACGGAACGTCCTATATAATTCGCATTACATGTCACATAGAAAATGCGAGAAAGTTGGTGACAGTAAGAAATATTTTATCGCATCCAGATGTTCGCCGCAATCGCTTAAAATACGTTCTATTATCAACTGCACGAGAATTAAAAAGCTATTCACGATGCGAGGAGATCGCTGTACGAATAGCTTTACGTAAGATTTCCTGTTTCGCCTCATGAATATGTCGTTAGTTTTTAAAAGTATATAATTTAACGGAGAGAGGGAGAGGGAGAGAGAGGGAGTAGAGTAATGTAGAGTAGAATAGAGTATATATTCGCGCACCGGCCACGATCAGGGTCTAGGTAATGCTTAAAGTTAGAGGTTAGGGGAATCCCTCGCGACACGTGAGACTCTCTCGAGACATCATACGTGCGACAAATCGGTTCATCGTGGCGCGAATAATACGAACAGCCGCATGCGTGAGTAGTCGATTTTTCGATATATCGTATCTTATGCAAATACATGGTAGTCACGAGGACCACTTCTTGTCAATTGACCTTCCAAGCACTCGTAACGTCACACAAGTCGCATAAGTTGACAATCCTGAAGAGAGCGCGCATTGTAAAACACGGTAATTGAGTTTAAAGTGGAACAAGAATCGAGTTTTGAGATTGCGACATTCATTATTCTGGTTTTAAGATTACGTCAAGTAACTTATTGTTAGCTAAAAATCGAATTTTTCCGTTCAGATTTGTATGATTATGCAAAAAAATGTAAACGCAAGATTATTCGAGATTAATTGAAAGACAATGTTTTATTTTCGTTTCCTAAGAAACTATAAATCAAAGAACTTCGCCCATTTTGGGCCCGGTCATCAAACATATATAATTTTGTACATAATCGATAGTATTAAAAAATAGATTTAGAGCTTTAAACCTCTGCCGGAAATAATTCAAACCTTCTAATGATGTCATTTATTTGTTTGATAGTTATCAGAGCTGGTCAAGATAACAAATACATTATTACTATTTTCAGAAGGTATTTGTATGTATATACAAGGTGTTTTAGAACTGGCGGAAAAGTTTTTAATATCAGATTCCTGGTATGATATGAAGATTTTTCCTTAGTGAAAGTGTTGAAGGAGGCCATTATTTTTAGCATGTTCCCAATTTATGCTATTATGTATCTTTAAAACCAAGTCTTATATTAAAATTCTATTAAAGCAAACTCTACCTAAAATTAACTGAAGAATGTATTTTTGTTAATATTTTATTTCCACAAGACTTAGTTTTCATAAAAACCTTAATTTTCAACTGCTTATAATTCGAAAATTATTAGTGTCTCGATATTTTTGTTGAAGAAAAATTGTCCTCCGAATGATACTAGGAATCTGCTATTAAAAACTTTTCCGTCAGTTCTGAAACACCTTGTAAATATCTTCTAAAAGATATTTAACATATGTATATCCTAGATATCAAATAATTGACATAACATGGGAATAAGAGTCTATGGTACGAGTACTATTTTTTCTCCTTGTAGAGATGCCTTCGACGCAAAAAGAAATCTTTAGGAAGGATGAATACAAAACAAGAATTATGAGTCATGTTCAACTATAAAATAAATAATTATCAATTTATTGCAAGCGTAAAAGCATCGTGTAAGTAGATAACAAAATGAACATACTTGATTTATACCAAGAATGATGACGTTCTAACATTGACCGGTAACTGTTTTGCACACACACATACACATTGACATCTATAAATTTTCAATCCTCTCATAATATCTATCCAATTTAGTATATGTCTCATCTCTGAACTCGAAAAATCTTCATAAAAATGGGTGAAGAATGGGTCTTCACAATATTATTTTTTGACTACCCCATAATTAGACTTAAAGTATAAGATTTAACTTCGTATGTGATGCTCAATACGCGTTTTTCTATGGAATTTGCTAAAGAAATATTTCTCATCTTTTCGCAATCTCTCTAAAAAATGCTTTTTTTGTTCGAGATGATCTTGTTAAAATAGTTAACGGAATATTTTTCGTCTAGCTTTATAAATCGCAATTTTTTGCAATCTATTGGAAAGTATTCGCAACAAGAATCGCCGTCTCGTCTCATCTCGTCTTCCTCTCTCTCTCTCCCCCCCCCCTTCTTTCTCTCATTCATCTCACATTAATACAGTTGATAATTACGAATTCTGCTGGAACGAGTGATGGACCATCGTGACGTTTGCAAGAACGTAGGTCAATTTGTCTCATTTCTGCGGCTCGTCTCGCGTGATGAATTTCGCCGTCCGAGCGAGAAAACTACGCGATAATAAATCTCCAACATCTATAAATAAAAGTTATGGAATCTGTTGCGCGTAAATGAAGCAGGCAAAATCTTTCAGAAAGATGTCATTGTCGTAAAATGGAAAGTAGATTTCCGTTTCACTGAAAAATTTATACGCTTATATTTATAAGAATTTCATCAGAATAAGAATTTTATAAGAATAAAAAAGAATCATCTTATTTTAAGAGAACAATCTTTAAAGATAAGTATTAACTACTTCTAATTTATAAAAATGTAAACAAAATGGAATTTTTACGTTGACAAAATAGTACATTATTTTACAGCACACAGACAAAAAACTATAAAGAAAGTAGTATATAGATGTAGTACCGATGAGTAGACCGAGCAGGCACGAGACCTGGGTCCTAACGATTCCATTACCTAAGTAGAACAGAAAAGTCAAAATAATGTCAATTTGACGTCATCTTGTCCAAATTTGAACTCCAAATTTGATCAATATGACGTCAAAATGATATTATTTTGTTTTTCTGTTCTACTTGGGTAGGTTATGTTACATTATTTATTCGTGAACACTTTTCTTAAGTCACTCAAGTATAGATTCTTGAGAAAAAATTTTGGCTCTTGCACTCAAGTCTTTTTATTTCGATTCACTTATTAACTTCACATCCACATTCTTCTAATAAATTAAAACCATTTAGTTACAAACACTGAACATAGTGCACTGCACTCTGTAAATTGCAACACTACATAATCGCATATAAGTACGTTGCTGCAACAATATAACCATATAATTCCAAACATAAAAAAAGAAAATAATATATAACTGTTTGTTATTAACGAAATAATATATTTTTATAGTTTAAAAGATGTTCTAGAA